ACAGGACCTGTAGGGGTCACCCTGAAAGAGAAGGGCAGGTGTGATGCCCATGCCTGCTTGTCCTTCGGTGTAAAGACTGAACATGGAGGGATGAAATTAATCCAAGGAGAAAGCGTGTCTGATTTGACGCACACACTCGCTTTATGGTCCTAGGCTTCTCACATGGCTGCTGTGCGAAATGTGGAGTCAAAGGAGTAGTTTGATGTCCAGGGCTCCTGGCTTGCCTTCACCTCTCTGTGTGGGCCTGGGCAACTCATTTGTCTCCATCTATCTAGTCTAGCCGAGAAGGAAGGGCTCCTTGGAAAAGATCCTGATGCTGGGAAGGATGGAAGGCAAAAGGGGAAGGGGACAGCAGCGGTTGAGGTGGCTGGATGGGGTCACTGGAGAGGTGGGTGTGGGGTTGGGTGTACTCTGGGGGATGGTGGAGGACAAGAGAACCTGCAGGAATGTTGTCCATGGGGTCACGAAGAGTCGGGCATGACTTTGCGACTGAACAACAACAACAATGCATCTAGTCTAACACCCTCTTTCTCCACATTAGCCCGACAGCTCCAGGAAGTCTGCAACCGAGCATGAGGGCAACAGTTCTTAGGGTCCACCACTATTTAGCTGCTATCCATTGACAGAGCATCATCCATGAACCTGCCTAATCTGCTTAAAAAGCCACTAGCTGGTGCTATTCCTGCTACCTCTGTGTTGAAGCGTGCCCCATTCTGTTCTGTGAGGGTTATCCTGGGCAAGCATGCGTCCCTGGTGGGGAGCTTGTGGGGAGCTTGGGGCCCATCACCCAGGTAGTGCTGGCTCCGAGGCTTTGAGGGCCTTGGGCAAGGCACCTCCAAGGGCCTCCACCTCCCCACCATGGTCCTCAGCTGCTCTTGCTCCTCCTTCACTTGCCCACCACTGCTGCCCCTTGGTTGCTGGACAAGCAGAGAGCCTAGTGCTGGCAGGCAGGCAGGCAGGCAGGCAGGCAGGCAGGCAGGCAGGCAGGGGCACCTCACCACCACCACCACCACTTTTCTCCTGGGCCAGACCAAGAAGCAAGTGAACAAGCAGACTGCAAGGATGAAGAAGAGGCCCTTGCCCATGGGCAGCACTTTGGCAGATGCCCAGCCATGCTGTGGGGAGCCAGGTTTCCCCTTATTCATTTCCGGTTTCCAAAACAGCAGACAAACTCTCTGCAGAACAGCGATTTGGTGTCAAGGCACAACTAACAAGCTACAGCAACTGAAAGACTCGTCTCTGTGCGTGAACTGAGTGGTTGAACCCAAACTAGAAACTACAGAAAACCCTCCTTTTCAGTAACACTGGGGTCCACCCCTTTGGACAGGTCCCTCTGTCTGGTCTCCAAGACCTACTCAGGCCCTCGAACTGGGTAGCTCTTCCACCCCAGCACCACATCCTGGGGTGAGGGACCAGGCAGGACATGGGCTTATCCCCTGCCCCTCCTCTGCCCGCTCCTTCTCTTCCCAGTTCTGCTGGTTCCCATGGTCTGTCTGAGAATCTGCAGGTGGCAGCCTTGCAACAGCCTCACCCTCCTCTGCCCCCTGGATTCCCACACCCCCATCTCCCAGCCTTCTGCAGAAGAGTTGATGCAACCCTGACCTTGAGAAGCATGCCAAGATTAGCTGTCTAGTCTGCCCCCTGCACATGCCTGCCCCTGACATCAGCCATTGGCCATGCTGACTGGGCCGCCAGGGCTTGGACTCCAGCACCAGGTGGGGGCTGTAGCTCCTCCCCAGTAGGATTGCAGCTTGCTGAATTCCTTTACAAACCTCCTAGGAATAAGCCCCATTAAACTCTGTGGAGTTCACTTTTGGCCTAAACATACAAGATTGTGCTGTATGCGACCACTGTTATATTTGAAAAGTTACAAGTTAATTATGTGAAATACTTTCTTTCATTTTTCCCTAAACCACTACCAGTCCGTTTCTTTGCATGATCCCTACCTCCACCCCAGCAAGTTTCAGTACAATGAAAGAGGGAGAAAATTCTCTATCTGTGACCTTTCCATCCGAGAGAGTTCAGAGGGCAGAACAGAACCATGCAGTGTAAAAGTGCCCAGTCTGCAGGTGTCTGTTCCTCTTCAATAATATTTGTGGGGTTTGGCCCCGTGGGTCAAAGGAATGGGCGAGAGCTTAACGTTCCAGCAGGTGATGTTGGCCATGAAATTGTAAAGGCCAATTTTGAAGTGACCGTGTCCAGAGCCCATAAAAACCCTCATGTAGCCAGCTATGAATAAAAGCCTAAAGAACTCTTCGTTCTTTTTTTGCATTGCTTAGGGGGCATTCAACATTTGAACCCACTAGATTTTGTTTTTTTAAATGTCCACTGACTTTTACAGAAAACACATAGTAAGTATTAAACAAAGCCCTGCTATTCCTTGTGTTGTAGCCCGTAGCCTGCACTCTGTTCCCAGTAATGCGGAGTGACTTTTAAAAACTTTTTGTAAAGGTCATGCTGTTTATGCTGAACAATATATGGCACAATTCCTCCTGTAAATTAAAAACTTAGTTTACTACCAGTAGTTCTGCTCTGCTTCTGAGGTCACCAAGATTTCAAGCCATAAGAACTTTTCCTCATGTGTAAGTGGCTGTGGAAAGCCGTTTAATGCAGGGTGCAGATGTGCCTACTGCAGCGTTTACCACCACAAGCCTCCCTAAGCTTCAGCCACATGATAAATCCAGCATTGCCACATGCTGGCACCTAACAAGGAATGATTACCAGCCAGATTATAGCAGACATCCAAAATACAATGCAGGGCAATACTTTTATGGCACGGAATAGTGCACGAACCTTTAAAGTCTCTGGAATTGTTCATCAAGCTAGACATTAGGTAAAGCGTGAATGAGAAGGGAAAAGTATGGCTGCTGTTGGTGTTTTAAGTTGAAGTTAAGGAGATGGCAGGACATTAGAGTAGGGTCAGCTGGGTTTGCAGGGGTTTCAGGTAGTACCTGGGATTGCCCAGGAGACGGCAGGGATAAAGAGACATGGGATAGAGTGGCAAGAGAGTAACTGTTTGCATCAGTATGGAAAGCAGCAGCTGGCTAGCCCCAGAGAGCGTGGGAATGAAGCACCGTGCAGTCGGAGGGCCATTTTGTACAGTCTGAGCATTGAAGGCGGGGAGGGGGGACCATGCCTTAATTCGCATGTGAAGGATGGTGACGTGTGAGATCTGCAGTGTGGTTACTTAATATTTCCCATGTCGGTTCCGCTAACCCTGTCCACATGATTGCTTTCAGCAAACGTTCCAGAGAGAGCATATTGCATACCGCTGTGTGGTAGAGCATGAAGCAGATGAGAGTCGTATTGTTTCAAGGCACTCTCTGGAACATTTGCAAGCTCATAGCCACACTGGGCCATTGTTCAGCTTTCAAAAATGCACTGGAAACCTCTAAGTAAGGGCCAGAGCATCTCCATCTGTGAAGCCTCCTCCAGGAAGAAGGGTTGGCCTCTGAGTCTGCCACCTTAGAGACATAGCTGCTGTTATCTCCCTACCCCTGCTTTAAATGCACTGACACAATAAACAAGTACAAAGTTTAAAAGAATGTCTATATGGACTTATGGACTGAATTTGCCACCTTATTTTTCTACAGCTTAACAGGTAGTGTTAGATTTTCACAAATCTTCATGCTCCTTTGACTTCAGGAGAACATAACTGTGTCTGTCCTTGGGCACCGCTCAAATAGGATGCAGTAATCCAGGGCTTCAGCTTCAACTTCCAAAGGGCAACTGGAGTTGGCTGATGGAACTTATTCTTGGGTACTTGGTTTCAGCAACTCACTAATAAGCAATCTGGATTACAAGTTTGGGAATTTGAGAAACTGGTGTTGGCACCTCCACAAAATGGTTCCCGTGAAGGATGTAGCTAGACACATAGCGGCTGGTTAGTCAAATACTAAAATGAATTTTAAGTTGTAAGGAGAGGCTGAAGTAGTTGTAAATAACCTTTCTAAAAAAATAAACTATAAAACAGAGGAAAAGCCTTTGTTTCTCAAAGAAGTTCTATCAGAAAATAGCGCATTTACTTTCTTGATCACCACACATTAACAGATATTGACTCATCTTTCTCCATCCCTAGGTTAATATGCCCATTACATTTTAAAGTTGAGGAAACTCTATGAATAAATGATAATTATTTAGATTATGTTGGTTGCTTTACATTTTCAATAGGTTGAGATTTAACAGTTTCTATCCAATCTTAGTCCAACTTAGTCTCATTCATTTTAATGAAACTACTCAAAGCAGGGTGGATTTGAATTAAATTGATTGAAATCCATATTTACATTATTAGTCAATTTAATTATGCTATTTTAATCACCAAAATGTGCACTCTTCCTTGCTATAACCCTAATACATATTTTAAACAATTTGGTTACTAAAGGTACTGGAAGGTGAAGATTCTCTTACCTTACTCTGTCAGAACAATCAAAACCAACTCAAATACTGCAACCATTTCACTAAACTATTTAATTATTTCTTTTTATACGTATTTTTATGATTGCACTGTGAGCCGCCCAGAGAGCCTCTGGCTATGAGGTGGCATACAAATGCAATAAATAAATAATAAATAAAAACAACATACTGTGGATATTGGTTTATTCAGCAGTAAAGATATAATACTTAACAAGTTTATTAAGGGGTGGATTTAAAAAAATAATTAAACATTAAGTGTTGGCCCATATATTTTAATATCAAGTTTATTTTAAAATTATTTTAATTTTAAAATCCCTAAAATTAAAATCTGTGTGAGCCAGGTCAACATGAAAACATTTAGGCTTATTCAGCCAATTCAATAGTCTTTATCTTCTTTTTCCCAACTATTCATAATTTGGAAAAAAAGCAGACAAGCTTTCCTGCTTTCCCAGATCTTCACATTAATTAATTTAGAATGAATTAATCCCAAGGAAGAAAACACTCTTCCTATGCCAGCAGAAGAAAGTACTGATTTTAAAAGTTTGATTATCACTTCAACAGTGATAATAAAGTGTAAGCTGTCTGAATCCAAGTGACTTCTGCCAGTTCACTAGCATAACTTTCTTAAAACTTTCTTAAACATATACTTCTTGAATGCTTTATCCTACAGTTTCAAAGTTAAGGGTGATCCAATCAAGAAATGTACAGCTAACAACACAGTAGACATTCTGAAAAAATGATTTATGGATGCACGTATCAAAGCTGAGAGATGGTGTGATGGTTAGTGTTGGACTGGGGGCCTGGGAGATCTAGTTCCTGCCCAGCAATGTATGGTTTCTCCAATGAAATCCTTGAAGCTGCTGTTTGCCGTAAGAAAATATCATCTGGTCACATTCCCTGCCAGTTTATCAATTGATCATTCCAAAGTGGTAAAAGATTAACAGTTAAGCAGCATGTTTTTTTTAACATTATCTTGGAAATGCATTTTTATTTTTCAAAAAAACTGTAGCACTTTTTTAAGGTAGAGAATTTCTTCATATGAAAAAGAATGAACAAATATTAACCAGTATCAGAACGTTAAATTCTAATGGATAACATACATTAATAACTCAATATTTCCTACCTAATTTGAGTCTCAAAGACTGATGTATAATTACACTTCACATTGTCTCTGAGTGTGCTATTAGTCCTGTATTAATTTGATACAATAGTCAACAATAGTCAAATTTCTTTTCAAACACGACGACAGTCTACCAAAGAACACAGGGAGACTGATGATGGAGCAGTTTTCCAATAGGGTGCAGCACCCCTGCCTATTCCATTGCATCCACACCAGCTTGGTTCTGCTAGTGAAACCTGCCACTTGTGTGACCGATATTTAGTGTTTCCAGCAAGAACCGAAACCAAGCAGAAACATTTCTGGGATGGGGCAGGTCAGCAGGGTTTGCATAAGGGAGTTTTACTGGCCTGTCCCAATACAGAAACAAGTATGTCCATTAGTTTCAGAGCTTCCTATAGGAAGTGTTAAATCTCCATCATGCAAATAATGTCCCTTGCTCATGCAATGCAATTAGCAGGAGTGACCACCTGCACACCAATCCTATTATATACAGCCTGTGTGAACATGAAAGGTGTTACTCTGAGTAGCTAGAGTGACTCCCTGGTCTTCTGGGACCCACTATTTTGAATGGTAATGCTAGAACAATTATTTATTCCACCCAATAACTTCATACATCAGTGCCCTCAGCTGCCTGGCTTCATAAGTAACAGTGTTCTTCCCACTATGCAGCTTCTCTTCTTCAAGAGGTTGTTCGATAACTGCTGGAATGTTTCGGCCATACAGTTCACAGTGCTCAAGAAACTGGATGCACTCTTGAATGACACTGTCACGCACCATAATCACATGCTTACACATATTTTCCAACAGTGACAAGAAACATCTTTTGGCATAATACCAAGTGTCTGTACCCAGCTTTTTGTTGTAAGGCTCTAAACTCTTAATCACCCTTGAGATGCCAAAATCAAAGTTCCCCTTGGCACAATAAAGAGTCCCAATAACCAGGTTCACAATGCAGAGGTGATAGATCTTTTTATCAGGCTCGTGATAAGAAAGCTGTTCTTCTTCCTTTTCAATCTTCCTCATCAGCTCCTCTGCTTCTTCATTTTGGCTAGTCATGATATAGGAAACACATAAGTTGGCCAGCACAATGGCACTGACCTGCAAGATGTTATCATAGTGTTTTTTTACAATAGGTTCATAGAAACCAATAGCCTCTTTGTATTTGTTCTCTTGCATGAATAGTACATGAGCTACATTAAGTTTCCACACTTCATGATCCTTGCAGAAGTCCACTGACTTGTGGAACATCTTTTCCAGCATGGGGTAGTTCTCCATGTCCCAATAAATCTTTGCCTGAGCCATGAAGACAGGGACATATTTCTCGAGTGTCTCATCATACTCATTAACTGCTTTCCTTAAAGCTTCATCATCTCGATTTTTCCTAGATTCCTGCACCTCTTTGGTCAGCTTTCTCAGTTGCTCAGTTAGGGCTCCCGCCAACTCATCAAGCTTATGGAATGCTTCATCAGGGGCTGTTTGGCAGGTGATCATGGCATCTAAGAAGTTGTACAAATATGGCGTCAGAAGCTTATAGGTCAAGTGGGCATTCTCAGCCAGCACATCTGCAGCCAGGTCATAGTATTGGTACTTGCAGTAGAGAAGCAGCAGGTTCCCAAATGTCTCTGGTGGGCAGGGGTTCTGCTGCAGGAGGAACTGCAGCTTCTCAAAGCCTTCAGTGGGTCGCCGATCCATGTTCATCAGGGCCTGGTTGTGCAAGGTGACTGGGTCCAGCTCCTCCTCAGCCCGGGGTGGCATATCGGTGAGTGCCTCTTGACATGCCTGCATGTTGCAGAGCTGATACTCAATGGCAGCCTTGAGATTAAAGGCCTCCACCAAAGCTGTGCGGTGCAGGAGCAAAGTGTTGCCAACACTGCGGACATCCAGGCCCTCTGTGTTGGTGCCCACGCTCAGCTCGGGGTGCTGCTGCATGCCCCGCTCAATGATATCTGCAATGTGCTTGAGGGCAGGGGCATACTGCTTGGCAGCATAACAGCATAGCGCCATGTTGTAGGACAGCTCGGGGCAGTAGCCCAGCACCTGCATGGCAGAAGCAAACTTAGTACAAGCCTCCTCATGTTGTCCTTCACGGTAGAGCAGGCAACCCATATTCACCTCAGCATCTGGCAGCTCCGAGGGGTCTTCAGCCACCCCAGAGCTCCCTTCCGTGGCGGCTGCCAACTGTAGCTCCACCAAGGCCTTGGCACTGGAGAGGTCGCTCTGGGCATACTGGATGGCTGCCTGGAGCCGCAACGCTCGGCTCTGGAAGGTCGGGACGTCGAGCAGCGGGATGGTGGCGCGGAGGGCGTCGGAGTAGAGCCCGGCCTTGTAGAGCGCCTGCGCATGGTACAGCCGGTACTCGTGGAGCTCCGGGTGCAGCGTCCCCAGCTGCTCGTAGCACTCGGCCGCCGCCGCGAAGTCCTGCAGCTGATAGTAGCAATAGCCGAGCAAGGACAGGCCTGCCCGGGAACGGCAACTCCTCTGCAGCTCGCTGCTTAGGATCCCCACCGCTTCCGCGAACCTCCCGTCCCGGATCAGCCCGTAAATAGCCGCGGTGAACTCCCCATCAGCTATGGGAGTAACGCCTGACGCCATTCTGGATAGGCCTTGGGCCTCAACACAGAAAGCGTTGCCTAGGCAATGCCTCCCGCCGGAAGCGGAACAAGCTGGCGCTGGTTTCTATGGCAACGGCGCTCTGAGGCATCAGGGCCGCTTCACACTTTTGGCCACCTTTCCACGTACCTACGCGCCCGGCGGAAAGTAGCACTTTTGCTCTTCTGACTTTCCACTTTGCTACGACGCTGCAGAGAGCTCCTCAAGCTCGGAAGAAGGCGCCTTGTTAGCTTGCAAAGCGCGTGCGAGCGACGGGCGGCAGCGTGAACCCGGGCACACAACGGATGCGCTCTGCTGAAGCCGCCGCCACCGCGAAGCATTCTGGGACACGTAGTTCCTTTCTGGAGTGGTTCGGCGCGAGGCCCGGAGCGCGTTTCTGGCTCACGTGAGGTGGGGGCTCTAGAGCGTTCGAAGGAGACGGAGCAGCTCCTTGCGCTTTATTCTCTTGTGATCCGCGTTGCTTCTTGGCGTTTAAGGTTGCGAACTGGGCAGGCGGAGCAGCTGTGCCCACTGTTGTCATAAGACTGACAGGGCGGCCAAAGATGAAGGAGGACGGGGGGGTGGGTCTGTGTCTGGAATCGCTGGGTACAGGCGAGGATTTGGCAGGCTCAGCCGAAGGAGCTAAAATACAAAGTAATACAGCCTTGGGGAGGCCCGTGCTCTACAGTGGAACCCCTGCCTTGCATGGAGAAAGTCCCGGGTTCTCCAGGTACCCAGCATCTTCAGGTGCCTCCAGGAAAGAATTCTTCCACAACCCATCTGCTGACAGCCAGTGTTAACACTGTTGGGCTGGGTCGACCAAGGGTCTGACTCCTTTAAATTTCTAACCTTCCTCTGCATGGTGCCCCCCAGATGTTCTGGACTACAACCCCCATCAGCACCAGGCAGCATAACCAGTTATTAGGGATGATGGATGTTGTCATCCGAAACATTTGAAGAGCATCAGGTTGAGGAAGGGTGGTCTATTACTTCTCCATGCTGAAGTGGAAATCTTTGTGTATAGAGGTTTCTGAAATTACGGATTTTAATCTTAACATTTCAAAAACTTACATTGCAAGGGGAGACAATTCTATTCAGTGGCATTAAAAAAACAGCTGACTGAGAAAGAGTGGCTTATGCCCTATACAAAGCGAATACTGAAAAGTTCTCAGCCTTACCCATTTGCCAAAATCTGAGTGTTATTTTGTCACTGTAACTCAAAAGAGTGTTATTTTATAGTGTAAAGTTCCAATTTTGAGGATCATTGTGCTATCTTTTTCAGATCATTGACAGAACCATGTCAATGAAAAGTGTGAAATTTTCATGTGTTGAATTCTGGGCCATCATTAAGTTTCTGTTCCTGCAGAAGGAAACTCCAAAGGGAATCCTTGAGTATATGATGCCAACATTGAGTGACAAGTGCTCATCATACCCAACTGTGAAAAAGTGGTGTGCCGATTTTCATTGTGGATATTCTGAGACTTAGGATGTAGCAAGAACTGGGAGGCCTTCAACATTGTCAGCTCCTGAAATTGTTGATCATGTTCAAGATCTGTAGTCTGTTGTTGATAACCCTTGGATTGGCAGGGTGGGTTAAACGATAATGCACAGTGAGAGCTATGTGTTCTCTTCCGCCCAAGTTCTTGAAAGGCTTTTATCCATGTACTCATAATGTTTTCATATTTCATGTTGAAATGAGGTTTCTGGCCATCCTGTATCATGAGGTCTGTATCTGGATCCTATATTTCAGGTATAAGATTCTGCAGCCAGTAGCTGTTTACAAACATCTCTAATAAAGTGTTTACAAATATTTACCTTAATTATTTTAATTGGTAAAATACATCATAGTCACTGTTTTATACAACTAACCAAAGAGTGTTCCTTATTTAAAGAATCCTTTAAAATGCTAGGTGGTATACACAAAGACCATTGCCTGCATCTGGTCACATTTGTTGAGATTCTGATTGAACAAAAACAGTTCTACATGGAACATAAATTAGGTTGCAAAGAGTAAAATCTAGTAGAATTGCCACTTCACTCACACCAGTCATTGAACTGATTTCAGATCTGTTGTGCTCCATTCACTTGCATGAGACATGTTATGTTCTCTATAGCTATAACAAACACCCCAAATCAAACTGTAAGCCAGAAGGTGAAAGCTATTTAAGGACTGTATCAAATGTTAGTCTAAGTTAAAAAAATAATGGGACTTAAGTAGGATTAACACTGGATCCAGCTAACTGGTATGCAGGGGTGAGAAAAGTTGGGGTAACTAACATTTCCTATTATGTTACAATGTAGTAACGCTACAGAGACGCAATTTTGCTTTGTATCTGGTTGCATATGCAGTGGAGGGTAGTGTGTGGTAGGTGTACAAAAAAGGGAAGTATGGATGCTTGGGGCAAGGAGTTAGAAGCACAAGTAGAGAAAGTTGTTGAGAAAGTTGGGATTGCAAAACCTCCTATCTTCTCCAAAGGCTGATCCAGCGAAGGTTTGCAAGCTTGTTATATTATCCCTACAGCAGCACTCCGTTGGCAAGAATGTGCCCTTTGAGGCAGCGATGGGCAGAAAGTGGATCAAGACCTGTTGGCAGATCTCGGGTGTTTAACAGTAGCTGTAACAAAATGAGCCTGCCCTAAATGGTCCTGTCAAAATGAAGGTGTGTGGAAGGGCCTTGTGCCGCATTCAGTCCGAGTACCTGAACCAAAGTCCTGGACTCAGAATTCTTTCATTCTCAATGTACGTTGTCTTTTGTATCAGGCTCCAGTTGGTGAATCTCAGGGTTGTAGTAAACAACAACCACCACCACCCAAATCTGACCCCATGGATTTCTGTTCCTCCTGCCTTAAGGCATTCATGAAAGGTCTGTGCAGCAGGCCTTGGGACAGGTTTATGGATACACTCTATTAAAATGCAGGCAGGGCATGCAAGAGCTAAGAGCTTATTTGAGCATAAACCCCTAATGCTTCCCAATCATCTTTGTTTTGCTTCATGGAACATTACCCTTCTCAGCCCGATGGACCTCCGTCTTCTCGATGAAGTCACTAAAGTATTAATATGCACTCCTTACACTCTGTGTTACATTTAGTGTGCTGTTTATATCTGTGATAGACTGTGGATATAGCTAGATGGTTAGATTCCATGCTTCCTTCAATGCTTTGCTTTCAAATGTTACTAATTATTCAAAAACAGACTTTATTTTTTCTACTATGAATAAAACTTAAAAACATTTTCTCAGTCTGTGGGTGGCTAAAGAAAAGATTTGGAAAATGTCACAATGCCTTTAAACATTATTTTGGTGTTTGAAAAATACAGAAGAATTACAGTTGTACGTGCACTTAGGTGTGTGTGTATGGGGTGGGGATATCACTAGTAAGGGTGCAGTCCTGTTTATCTTTAGGCAGAATGTTGATAATGTCTTGCTGATGAATGCTGAGAATTTTAGGGATTTTTTCCTATAACTTTTTTTTTTGCATAGGATTGCACCCTAAATAGCTCTATATAGCAGCCTTTCTCTACCAAAATGTCCTGCAGATGTTGTGGACTCGCAGTATTCCTACCCATTGGCCATGCTGCCTGGGACTGATGGGAACTGTATTTCAAACTATCTAGAGGGCACAAGCTTGGGAAGGCTGATATATGGGGTTGAGCTGCATGCCATGTAAGACTTAATGTTAAGGCTCATGAGGAACGTGAACTGCTTGTGATTGCAAATGGCAATGCTTTAGTTTATCACAAACTTTGAGACTGAAAAATCAAGTCTGTCTCCATGCAGTATGCATCTAGATCTGCGGGGTGAAGAAAGCATTCTGCACAGCCACATCGTGGGGCATTTCCAAGGGAAACACAAAGCACAATCCAGAATGGGTATTTATTTATTAATTAGATTTGTTTAAAAGCAGCCCATTAGCATCCTGCTCTCTGGGCAGCCATCACACTCTCTGGGCATCGCCATTTCCTCTTGTTTCTAAGCCATTCACTTACATAGGACCTTAGGGAACAGGGGGATCGGCAACCCTGTTAGGTTTTTAAAACGACAAAGCATGGGCTGCATGGCTGAGCAGCTGCCTGGTCCAGACAGGGAGAATTACGCCCTGCCAGCTCGATGCTTCCCCTTCTATCATTTTGCAGCACAGAGGCTGTTTCCCATCAGACACAGAGATCCATCAGAAAGGCAAAACATGTATTCAGGCATGTGGTAATGGCCACTGAGGTAGCTACACACGCATACATATTTAGTAGTTGTTTTCAGGGAGATTTCAATTTTACTGTGAGCTCATGTTTAAATCGACCCCAAAGTATCACTTCTTGACAAGAAGCCACGAATCACGCACATTGGATGAGTGACTTTTTTCCTGCCAGGAACCTGCTGAAAGATTTGGGCTGGACACACAGCCCCTCCAGGCGGGGCGTTTCCAGGTGCTGCAGGCATTTTGGGACACTTTGCTCTGCCGACGCGATGATTTTAGCCCCCCCGCAGTCATCCCATGTCATCCTGTGCTCCCCTCCCCCAGAGGTTGTGGCAGGTGAGCACCCGCTAGGGCTGGAGCCCCATATATCCGGGGCGCCATCAGCCGCATCACCCCACTGTCCTCGGGCACTTGCTGACGGTCTCTGTCGCATCGACTCCCCTCGCAGCATCTGTTCTTTCGCTCATGTCTGGTTCATCTCCTGCTGCCCCCTAAATCTGCCTACCTGTGGGGTTTCTTCCTGAAATAAAATGCATCCCTCTCCCCTCGCCCTTGTTTTGCAAATGGTGTGTCTTCGAGAGACAAGGTTCTGGAGAGACGCAGACACGCAAGCGAGACATTCATTCGCAGACTTTGCAGCGTGTGCAGTAAGCATGTGCAAGTTTGCAGCCTTTCTTTCGGTCATGTGGTCTTGCGCCTTGGATTGTCTTGCCTGCCTCCCTCCACTTCTTCCGTATTTTCTCAGTCTGAGGGAAAACCATCAGGTTTTGATGGAATATGAGCTACAGAAAATCGGGGCATGGCTGCTTGCTTCCAAGGTGCTCGTGGGGTTTTGGGGGGGGGGGGCTGGGCGGGGGGGGGGGTTTGTGGCTTTTTCGGGGGGGGGGGGGCGTTTTCAGGCTGGCCAGACCGCTGCTTTTTTCTCTTGCTCGAGAAGATCATTGCGCCTCTTACTGCTGTATTTTCCCTTCTCAGCGCACAATGGACTCCTGGTTTGGCAATAAAACAACAGATGCGGGTGTGCCAGTTAGCCATATTTGCACCCACTGGGATTCCCTCCCACACACGTTTGTTTCTTCTTTTGAATAGCACAGTTCTGGAAGTCCAGAGGTCTATTGCAGCTCTTTTATTGCCATGTAAATGCACGTGGAGCTGATCTGGACCATAGCATTCTGGGAGGAAAGGGTTAACTCTAGCCTCCTTTCGGTTTTCCTCCATTTTCTCAAATGCATAATTAAGGATCTTCTAATAACCATGAAATTCTCTTGAATGCAATTGATTTATATTTCCACGGTCAGGCTTTCACAACGCATAAACTTCCTAATTCATTTTCGGAGCGGGTAAGGTTTGAATAAGACCAGCTCTGTTCTTTGTTGGCTTCTGATGATAATCTGGCAGTCCCCCTCTTGCTCCCTTTCTTTCTCCCTTGGGAGACACGTGAACTAGTGAAGTCTGGCGCCAGACTCAGCTGGTGAAGCTCACTTTGACCCAGGCCCTCCCAGTCAGCTTCCTTCACAGAACTGTAGTAAAGGATAAATACGTTTCTGAGAATCTTCCTGTATTCTGCCTTGATCTCCCTGGAGAACTGGCAGGTTACAACTGTGACTTATAAATAAAATACTAGTTGATCAATTCTAGGATATTGATGTCCGTAGATTCAGAACAATCTGCACAGGTTTCCGAGAAGTCTCAGTAGGACATACTCCCTGCTAAGTGGGTGTAAGATTTCAGCCTAAATGCTGAATGTTTTCCCAAATTGTTACATAACACAAAATACATAGGAATTCTTTCATTATGGGACAAATCCCTGATATATGGCAGTGTTACTTATGGTTGGAGCGCTTCCACTTATTCCATTGCACCAGCTGAACTTGCTGCTTACATAAAAGGGAGTGAGCACTTCCTAAAGGAACCCTGCAGATGACGGGAAACACCCCTTTTGGGATCAGGCCAGGTTAGCAGAGTTCCCTTCGGCGGCTTTTGCTGCCCGTCCTGCCTGGACCCAAGCATTTCTGTTCCCTTTGAAGGGAAGAAGGGAAGTTAGCCCTATGAAGAGGGCTAACTCCTTATGGCACTGCAGAGCGCTCTGCTGCTGAATGGGCGCATCATGTTCTGCTTTTATGGCTTGTCTGAGTTTATTAATGGGAACTGGAGCTTTGGATATCCAACATGGTTACTTTTACATCAGGAGCTCTGGCTGCAGTTGTTGGTTTCTGACTGTGAATAGCAGCAGCGGATTTACGACTTACCCACCAAATGGTCAGGGCACACCCTGCTTTGTGGACCGTGTGCCCTTGGCTTTTTCTGACAGCATATGCTGCTGTCAGGAATTTCACGTAAAGCATGCTGGCCATTTCCTCCTGTTCATATGACCGGACTTGTATTACATTCCACATGCTTTTTTCTTTTTTGATCGGGACAATGGCACAGTCAGGATATACACAAAAGGTAACATCAAAAGGGGATATGTGCAGGGTTGTGCAAAGTGTGGCCTTGTTTTGCCACAATTGGGTACAATCCCATGGCCTGCCCTCATCATCCAGGGAGGCCTTCACAGTCCCAGCAGGGGGGTCCTCTGACCTCAGTGCTTGCAGCCTGCTGGCCGAGCCCCAGCACCCTC